GTGTGAAGTAAGGGACCTGGTTGGTCACAGTGAGTCTAGAATCCGGAAACAGGAGTGGGGGATGTCTTACACATTCAAAGCACATTTAATAAACACACCTAATAGTCACAGTCTAACATGGGCCTCATGTGGCCACCTAATATCTTACACATAGCTGTGAATAACTCTCTGCAGTAAGAATGCTTTGGTAATTGTGATCGATTACTGTACTTAAAACAATTATACTCTCTTGTATTGCTGCACTTGAGAATTTAAAATAATAGTAAAGAAATAAGAAGGCAATGTATGGCCAGTGCTTTGAACATATTCGATCTCTAGGAATAGCGCTGCAGCAACACAAGCTCCTGCGAGGAAGAACAATGATGATAAATGAAGGTGTGTTTTACTCTCAACCAGTGTGCACTCCTTCCCCTTAAACATACATAGATGAACATAAAATTGAAAAAAAAAAAACTGCTGCTAGAAAGGAAACAGCTAGCAAGATTTTGGCATCTTTTTCCATTTATTCCTCTGCACATACACATTAATATTTAATAGTTCCAAATAGTACACAAAAAGACTGTTCACGAACAGTATGTTAGATTTCTAAATCATTCAATTGTCTTCAGAACCGTGACTTTGCATTTTTCCTGTGTAAATGTTTCATTGTTTATGGATTCTCTATCCGAGGTATTTATTTTTCCATAGTCTCTCTTTCTATTGTGTCAGACAAGGTCACTATTCCAATGATATCTCTCTCTCTCTCTCTCTCTCTCTCTCTCTCTCTCTCTCTCTCTCTCTGTCTCACACACACACACACACACAAACACACATGCACATAGATGAAAGTTTCTGTCCTGCTAGCAGCTCTCAAATAAACACACTGAGGCTTAATATTAATTATAAATGCTCTGCCAATAGCTCAGGCTTGTTACTAGCTAACTCTTACATTTAAATTAACCCATATTTCTTATCTACACTCTGCTGTGTAGCTTGGTACCTTTTCTCAGTCGGGCATGCTCATCTTGCTTCTTCTGAGTCTCTCTCAATTTTAGACACCGTCCTTTTCTTTGCATCATCCTTGGTTTGACTCTCACCTAACATTATTCTGTTCAGCTATTGGTCAGTCAGCTTCTTTATTAAACCAATCACAGTGACAAATCTCCACAGTATACAAAGGGATTGTTCCACAGCACTCATACACAGCAAGGGTGGATGGATGGAAGGAGATTCTATATCTGAGAACTCTTCTTGGGAGAGTTACATAATAGCTCTTGGGAAGAACCTGAAAACATCTACTAAAATGTATGCCGATCACTGTTCGTAAATAGATAAATAAATGGGCTCCCAAAGTTTTCTGCCCACAAATGACAACAGAGGAGGAATATTATGCTGAAAAACAGAAGGTGTGTAGAAAGTCCCCCAGAGTTCCCAGAGACTGAAACAGAGTGGGAAAATAACACAAAGACTAGCGACAGGTTGACCTAGTTTGGGCAAGGCAAAACAACCAACCTTGTCCACAGCGAGAACAAACACTAGGGACTAGTGGAGAATGATAGAGGACACACACTTGATACTGTCCTCTGCAAGCACACACACACACACACACACACACACACAAACGCATGCCCACACAATACACACATGGACACACATATACATACATGCACGCACACACTGTATAAATTTGGAGAGTGGATAAAGCTGGAAAGTGATGGGATACATACAATCGGAGTAGAAACAACAAAGGAAAATGTAGATTAAAAAGTATGACAGAGATAAAATGGATAGACTGTAGCTGCCAATAAGAGTATAAGGGGCAAGAAACAAGAGTCTAGGGACACTTCAAGTGCCTGGAGAACAGGGATTCGTAGGATAAAGCAGCTAGAAGTCAAGTGAGGTCCCCAGAGGGCACAGGGCCCGTTTCCAAAATGAGTCACCCTGATAGAGATGCCAAGCAAGACACCAGTCATGTGGAGCTGGAGATTTCTGACATTCTTGAGGCATCTTCACAAAGTCTTTCCTCCAGTGAGAGAGGTGGGTGAGGAGGTCCTAGGAAAGATCACAGGGACAGAAAAGCAGAAGGAGATGGAGACAGCTGATTGGGAAATATCAAGATTCGGCAGGTCAGTTTTCATACAGTGTAAGAAGAGAGAGAGAAAACAGGTTTATTCTCTCCTTGACTCATAAAATCCTACCGGATAGATGCTGGGATGTGCATGCACTATAGACCACCAGGAAGCCCCCAGACTTCATAGGTGTGGGGGTATCTGGTCCTTTGGACAAAGACAGCAGCTCCAGAACTGGTACCAAGAGGCTGGAGAAGTGGAGGGTACAGTACTGAGTCATAGGGCATGTCCCCCAATGCCTGGGGCAGCTCAGGTGGCACTCCCAAGTCTAAATTGTACGGATTTCCATTATAAACAGCTGTGGGCTCTTTGTTCTCCAGACCAGTCTGACTGGTTTGTGTAGGGAATGCCTTAAAACTGTGAGGTTCTAAGTCCTTATCCATCTCTCTCAGGTGAGCGTTTTTTTTCTCTCTACAGAAAAGAAACTGCCTCACTATTTCTCCCTATGATCTCACACCAACTTCTCCCCCGTTTATTATTAAACACCCTCTCTCGCCTCTATGCTTCAACATTGTCTTATGTAAGCTAACTAGAATCACTCAAAGCCATGGGATGACGTTGAAGGGATGAAAACAGGCATTTTGTTGATTGAAGTCTCCATCATCAAAATACATTGCATACATGCATGAACATTTTGAAGAATAAATAAATGAATGTTAAAAAAATAAATGAATGTTACTTATAAAAGACTCCATAATATAAATAAAGACCAGGCATAGAAATAAATGCCACTAACTGTAGCGAAAAGACCCAGTGCTGACCAAGAGCAGAGTCTTGAGCAGAGTAAGCCCTTGAACCTGAGTGAGATCATGACATCATAGCATCCTGTACAATATCAGGAGGCTCAGAGCCGTCTGTGTGAACCCAATTCAGATGTATGCATTGAACTTTAAATACTTAAGGCCATAGTAAGCAGGGAGAAATAAATCAAGCAATGCCCAACAGCTCTGGAAAAAACCCTCGCATGAATTTCTTACAGGAACATGGATGGTGCTTCAGAGATGAGAAGCGTAGACGGTGAGACCATTTTAGCTGGAAATAACTGGTGAGTTTCCTTGGACCCAGAGGCATAGCTAGGCAGGGCCCGGAACTTGCGGAGTACAGCATTCCACTGTATAGGATTCATGTACATAGTAAGGCATGGAAAGATGGTAATAAATGTCAGGCAAAAGGACCAAGGAATAATTTGGTTTTATGTTGTTAAAACATTAGCTGTTACATTCTGGTTACAGTTCAGGAAAAAACTTTATAAGAAACTTTTTATTTTACTAGAAAAAATAAAGACCTGAGATATCTAGAGAGATAATTTAGACATTAGAAGATTATATTGCTCTATCAGAGTTCCAGGCTTAGATCCCAGTATGGACATGACAGTTCAAAATGGTACCCTATTTAACTCTAGTTCCAATGGCCTCTACTGGCCTCTGATGTGGGATTCCCCTTTGTGGCTGTGAATACGATTGGTTGATTAGTGGGACCAGGATTTATCCCTAGTGCTTGAACTGGCTTTTTGAAGCCCATTCTCTTTGGAGGGATACTTGTTCAACCTAGATATAGAGGGGAGGGCCATTGGTCCTGCCTCAAAGTGATGGACCAGACCTGAAGAATTATATAGAGGATGAAAGCAATTAAATAACATCATCACCACCATTACATCCCAATACATATGAGTAATAACACATAGTGTAGTCATAAAAGGTTCCAACAAAGGAACGAAGCCAACAGTTTAGTATAAAATGAAATAAACGGTAATTCCAGAAAACAAAACAAAACAGGGAAGAGTATTCTGCAGAGATCTGGTTTCTGCAGACACTATGCCAACACGAAACATTACTCATCGTAAGAGAATGTCCATTGTTTCTATTGAAATTCGACCTACCAGTAATATGGCATGTATACTATCATCGGAATATTCATATTGTCTCCTTTTCTCATTTTTCTAACTTTCATTTATTATTCTGTGTGTGTGTGCGTGTGTGTTTGTGTAAGTGGGCATGCATGTGCCTCAGCACGTGAGAGGTCTGGGATAACTTTTGGAAATTAGTCCCCTCCTTACACCACGTGGGTCCTGGGCGTTGACCTCAGCTGGACAGTACTTGGTAGCAAGTTCCATTACCATCCAAGCTATCTCGTGAGCACCTTGTTTCCATTTTTACATATCAATTCTCCATCCTAATAATCAAAACCAGGCAATCTCATGTGACTGGTTATCACTACCCAAGAGCAAGGACTCATCAGATTTTTTTTCATGAAAAGTGTCAAGTATAGCAAACAATGAGGTAATGATACAGCCCCCCAAGTCCCCACCCAGCACCAACAACTGTCAGTGTTTAGAGAGCCCTGTTTTGTCTCTCTTCTCTTTTGGCTGAGCTGTGGAATTCTCATATACAAAAGCACATAAGCTGCTTGTGTTTAAGCGCACCTATGTTTCCCTAGTATACAAACATTCATTCCATTTCCATAGTTAGCATCCCGATTGCTCATGGCCAGGAAGTAAATGCCTCGTATCCTAGCCTCAGCTACAACGAGGCACTTTTCTCCTTGCTTCCAGACCAGGGACTGGTACTCAAATCACATAGCATGGCAGGAATGGCCACCTAGAATCCACAAGGTTCCCAACATAGCTGTGAGGGTGGCCCAACACATTAGCGGATTACATACCAGTGCCGTGTCAATGCGCTACAAACCTTGCACTGATTCTCTTCAGCGGGTCTCTGCACACCCATAAATGCATTGCATTCTATGTAAAAAATATTGTCTACATTCATTCTACATTAGTCCTGACCTTTCTGCCCCCTTGTAGAAGCCTATTCCCTACACAAGGATAAGAGCTTCTGCTACTATCATCTCTCCAAACTTTTATTTTCTGGGTTTTTTTTTTTATTTTTAAGATAGGATTTCTCTTGTGTATCTCTGGCCTTTCCTGGAACTCACTCCGTAGACCAGGCTGGCTGGCCTCGAACTCACAGAGAACCACCTTCCTCTGCCTCCCTAAGTGCTGGGATTAAAGGTGTGCACCACCAATGCCTGGCTTTTAACACTATCAAAACGGTGCACCTGCCCTGGCCGCCAGGTTGCCTGCCCTGGTCACTTCACCTATAATTATTTCCCTCGTGTTTCTTATGAAATTTAAACCAGGTCACTTCCCCGTTTATCCCATCCCGTTTATCTCCCTTACATGATAGGATTTTTATTAGTTCTCTTCCATGTACCGAGCAATATACTACTGAATTGTGCGTTCCATTAACAGTTAGACGAGGCCGGGGGATACAACAGTACCTAAGATGCGTTCTCTTCACCACAGATTTCTTGAATGGAAGAAAAACGAGCAAACCAGAGGTGAGTGTCATTCCTGCTGGAACCGAGTTCAAGAAGACAGGAAACAGGCCGGTGGTTCTTCCCGTCCCTTTGCAATGGGAGGGGGGAGACGGTTGTTTGTTATTCTTGACATTGCAATAGAAGTCTAAACAGAAGTTGTCCCTGCGCCACCACAGTAGACCGAGTGCTGGAACACTGTTCCGGAATTAAACTATATGATTTCCAGCAGCCCTCCCAGCGGAACTATAAATGCACATTTTGGGGAGACCATAGTTGAGTACTCACAAATATCCATAGCAGAACAGCAACTCAGCAACATCAGATTCTTATCCAAAGGCATTACTGAATGTGCTGGGCTTCGATTTGGGGAACAAGATTTTTTTTTTTTTAAGTACATAGATAGACCCATGCAGGTAACTGTATTGTTTACTAAGGGGGCTCGAAGGTCGAAGGTTATTAGCTGATACTGAAAGCAATAAACACTATTATAGCAGAAACGATGACCTATGATGCTTCTAAATTCCACCCTGCACTTTCACCCATGCTGCCTTTGACCTATTCGTTTTGGCAAAACATTGAAAAGATTAACCATGCCTTTTTAATGACCCAGAACCTGTGCGGAGACAGCCTGGACTCGATCCCTCCGATTCTGAGTCTGAATCAGTCCTTGTGCCCAGGCACCTAGCTGATATTCCCGTGTGTGTTGCGGTCAAAATCAAAAGGGAAGAGAAGCGCTCAGGGTCACGTGAGTGCCAGTCACCACAGGTACTGAGCTGTGCTTGGGGCCGGCCAGGTGTGCCCGCCCTGCCCTGCGTCTCTCCTGCTTAGGAACAGACACGCCACGAGAGACTGGAGAAGAGCGAGGCGAGGGACAGGAAGGTCATCCCGATCCCAACCTCACTCCCCTGGAACGTCCGGGCGCGGCGATTGCAGAGGACCAGGACAGCAGGGCCACACTGCCTGGGGCTTCACCGCGCGTCCGCGCTGCACCAAGCCGACTCCCAGGCGCCGCGGGCTCAAGGTCCCAGCCAAGGGAGAGGTGAGGGCTGTCACTCTGGCTCCCAAGCCCAGCAGCTGGGCAGGAGGTTCCCGTGCGAGCCTGGGGCGCGCGGCCTCGCGGATGCATTCCAACTTCTCTACGGAGCCGCGCTCCCGTCCTGCGCGCTCCCGCTTACCCTGTCCCTTTTTTTTCCCCCTCTCCCCACCACTCCTCTCCCTTTTATTCTCTCGCTTCTAGGCCGACGTGTGTAAGTTGCGTTCTGGACAGTCCCAGCTGTGATGCTGAAGAGCTCCGAGCCAGCGCTTGGCCAAGCCTCCCGCTAGAATCCCGGGCAGAGACCGCCCTCGACCCGGCGCTGACATTATTCTGCATAGCTCAACGGCTACTCGGGTCTCCGGTGCCCCAGTTGTGGCCGCTCTGCTTCCCTAGGGACTGGGGTCGTGGCAGACTGCCCACGCGCCGGGGATCTGCACGCCTGGGTGAGTTCCTGGTCTTCCTCGGCCATCCCGGTTGCCGTGGAGAACCTGTTTACCTTGCAAACTTGAGACGTGACCAAAACAGACCAGCTTGCCTTGCAGCATGTGTTTCCGATGGCTGGGCGGATAATTCTGTGCTCAGAGCCCAAGGGGACATGCTCGGAAGCTGAAGATGAATTCGTGTTTCTGGGTGCACGTGTAGCTTTCCCTTTAAAAGCCGTGACTAGAGAAATGATTTTCTGCCCAGCAGGAGGCGGGAACTGAGTTAACTCGCAACCTGAAAGTTTCCAAAGCTGAGGAGGAAAATACAATTTATTGGAAAGAAAGTCAAAATAGAATGATGCATTAGCTTGGGCTCTTTGAGGTAAATAGCATGCAGAAAGAGGCAAGGTTTTAAACAACTTTGAATCAAGCCTTTCTTGTATCTCAGTTGCTGTGCATGAAATCTTTTCAATGCACATAGTAAATTTCATGCAGGAAAAGACTAGAAGAGACGCGCAACCTTGGGAGATTAAGGTTATGGCCAATTAGACTAGTGAGGATTGGCATTTAACACTTTATTTCCCAGCTAAAAGCACGATTATTCACACGGCCCATTGAGCTATCTTTCTGCTTCCTGGAAAAGGAGCGATCATTTGTGTTGAGGTTTAGCTAAGGGAAAGTTGTGGGGTTTTCAGAGATCAGTATCTCTGCCTGGCCACTAGGGCAGTGTTAACAGCTCTGGTGCCTTGGAGTCAGTTGGGGGAGGGTGTCTGGGGATGAAGATCACTGGGGAGATGAGCCTGCTACTCTTGTCCAAGCGCCTCCACTGACTGACTGGTTGTGGCATCTTATTTAAAAGATGGACAAGTTGAAAAGTATCTCGTCGCCACCAGGAAGCCATTCATTGGGCACATTTGTAAAGAGAGCTCTATCTCTCTCTCTAACAGGCCCCTTTCCCCATTCCAAAGAAATGCTACTTCTAGAAAGATCTGATTAGGGTAATGACTCTCTTTGTAAAGAGTTTGTCCTTGGACATGTGTCTTAGTTTAGCTTAGGTACAAAGGAACCTCAGGCATTTTAGTAATTTTTTATTTACTAAAAGGATGGCTTGGTCTGCATAGTTAAGAACTTAACCTGATTCTAAATGTAAAGGTCAGGTGGCACTGGGTTCTCAGGAAACCTTAAGCCTCTGTTTTTGTTTTGTTTTGTTTTTCGTTTTGTTTGTTTGTTACTGACATTTGAGAGGACTGTAAAGAAGAAGTGCTAACTGGGCATAGTTCTGAAGGGTAGGGGCGTTTATGCTTCTTTAAGAATGGCCCTCTAGTAAGGTGAGCATCCAAACTGCCTAGGCTCCCACAAAGCCAGTACGTGCAGTAGGATCAAAAACCCATTGCCATTGTTCTTGAGTTCTCAGTAGTCCTCATTGTCTGCTATGTTCAGCGAGTCCGGTTTTATCCCATGCTTTTTCAGACCCAGGCCAAATGGCCTTGGTGAGTTCCCAATAGAACATCCCCATTGTCTCAGTGTGTGGGTGCACCCCTCGCGGTCCTGAGTTCCTTGCTCGTGCTCTCTCTCCTTCTGCTCCTGATTTGGACCTTGAGATTTCAGTCCCACTTCCCACACGGCAGGGAACCCTGATTGCTCTTTGGGCTGAGGAGGGAGGGGGACTTGATTGGGGGAGGAGGAGGGAAATGGGAGGCGGTGGCAGGGAGGAAGCAGAAATCTTTAATAAATTAATTAATTAATTAAAAGAATGGCCCTCCAAAGCTTGATGCCTTTGACTATGAAGGATTTGTCGCTACCATGAACAAGCCACAAGCAGACTTGTTGGCTACACACAGCATCTTTTTGTTTGTTTGTTTGTTTTTCTTTTTCGAGACAGGGCTTCTCAGTAGCTTTGGAGCCTGCCCTGGAGCTCGCTCTGTAGACCAGGCTGGCCTTGAACTCACAGACGTCCACCTGGCTCTGCCGCCCGAGTGCTGGGATTAAAAGCACGTGCCACCACCGCCCACGCGCACCCAACAATCTGCCATTGAGAGAAAAGTTCGCGGTGACTTTCCACCAAGGACTTTTAAGCAGGATTCCAACAAAAGATGTCACTGAAGTTAGTCCCAGGCAGAGTGAATTGTTGCGACGGGGCTGTCAGGGACGTTCGGTTTTCTCTCGTAGACGAATACTGCTCTAAAAGCAGTGGCACAGAAGCGTAGGGAAAACTGGGGAAGCTGACAGAGGCTGCAGGGGATCAAGCTGACCTGAGTTCAACTCTGACATAATTCCGTCCCTGGGAGCACAGAAAGGACAGCGAATTCTAAACGGCCAGTTGAGTGCCCCTTGGGTTTTGTAACTCACTTCTCTAGGTAGCCAGAGGGAGAATTTTGCCTAAGAACCTTTGATAAGAGCTGCTTAGAGGAGGAAAATGTCATTCATCTGGGGGGGAACTTCTATGGCAAAGAAACGTCCAGCCACCCAGGGAAAACATTTTGCAATTTAACTAGGGTCTTCTAAAGTGAAACCCAGCTCATATGTGAAGTGGGCGTAGTGATTCCTCCGAAGGTGGTTGTGGGGGAGTGGATGGGATAATGGTGGTAAAATGCACAGTCCACTGTTTGTTAGCACACAGCGAGTAGTTATAAAGAGTGGATAGAGGCGCTGGAGATGACTCGACAGTAATAGCACTTACTGCTCTTTCAGCTGACCAAGAGTTCAGATCTTAGTACAGACATCAGACAACTCAGAAATGCCTGTAACTCCAGCTCCAAGGAATTGGACACCTCCTGCTGGTCTCTGTAGGCATCTGTGTGCACACGTGTGTGCACATGCACACACACGTGCATATACATGCATATACATGCATGCATACTCACAGAGAGAGAGAGAGAGAGAGAGAGAGAGAGAGAGAGAGAGAGAGAGAGACTGGATAGAAGAGGAAGGAAGTGAACTGGGTGTATTGATTGATGTAGTGGTACCCCTCCTGAAGTTGTACAGATTGTACAGAGGGCATCTTAGGGTTTCTATTGCTGTGAAGAGACACCATGACCAGGTCAACTCTTACAAAAGAAAACATTTAATTGTAATGGCTTGCTTCAGTTCAGAGGTTCAGTCAATTATCATCATGGCAGGGAACATGGCCTGCGGGCAGAAGTGGTTCTGGAGAAGTAGCTGAGAGTCTTACACTTTGCAGGCAGCAGGAAGTAGTCTGTCATACTGAGGGAAGCTTGAGCAAAAGAAACCTCAAAGCCCACCCGCAGAGTGATGCATTTCCTCCAAAATGATCACACCTACTTCAACAAAGCCACACCTCCTAATAGTGCCATTCCCTTTGGGAGGGCCATCCTCTAAACCACCACAGAGGCTTTACTGCATTGTTAACTAGAAGTGAATATACTTGGGTCACATACACTATTAAATGACAAAAAGGGGATTTGCAACTTTTAAAGCTAATCTGAAATGAAACAGTATCTATCATAATTCATCCGCCAGCGCTTTGTGTTGGGAGGTGGAAGTGTAAACCAGGAGTCAAGCACTGGGGTTGTCACATGCAAGGCCCTTTATCTACCCCCAGACCCTCTGCCCCACCCTAAATGAGGTTTAGATGAATCTGCCTTTAATTTCTTAAAGAGTGGCAGAGTCTGGTTTAAAATGTATGCAAGGTCTATGTCTGTCCCTCACACAGGCGTCCAGGTTGAATCTGGAGCTGTAGGGCATGATTCATTTCGAAATCTCCTGGGGAAGGCTCTGGTCGCTCAAGGAAAGGGCAGAGTAGTAGCAGGAAAACCTTCTCCCCTGATGGGTAGATCTTCTCAAGGTCATTTGAAGGACTCATAGTTGGTCGTCTTCTGCAGATGGGTGGATTTATTATTTTTGTCTTCCCCCCTCTCTCCTACTGTCATTCCACAGGTGTCCTTGGTAACGTCTCAGCTTTTGAAATTACATTTTGACTCCAATTCCATTGCTTCATTTACATAGTCCCGGTCTGATGTGTGACCGTGTTCTCTGTCACACGACTGTGTGCCAGATGGACACAACCTTTCCCCTTTTATTTTGTTCTCCCAAAGCACTTCCTGCCCTAGGTGCACCGAATGCTCCCTTTCTTGTGACAATCAGAAAATTGTCACAGGTCCTCTAAAGCAGAAAGGGGAGTAGCGTGGGAATGAAGTGTGCACCAAAAAGCTAGATGCCAAGTTGCTGTTTAATGAAGAGGAGAATGCTTGTGACCTCCATGAGAGTCCTGCCAAGCAGCTGGACTGAAGTGGCCCCGGGGCTATCGCCTTCACTGCCACAATCGGAATCCTGAGACTCCGCGGCCCCTAGCAGAGATGCTGACTTTACAATGTGTCATTTTCCCGTGTCCCAATAATTAGAGGAAGACCTACACTCTCAACCCCGGGAGCAAAGGGAGGGAACACTGTACCAGCAGCAAAAAGCGCTTCCTTTCTCCAACCATTCTCTCTGGAAGAACCTAATCTCTTGTTGCCCCCATCAAAGGATTGTGGGAAATGTAGTCTACAGAGTTCTAGACTCACCAGGGATGGAGTGAACACTTTGAAGGAGTTAAGAATGAGAGTTGAGTTTAACATGTGTCTAAAATAGGGTTTCCAAGAGACAGAGTACTCAATTCAAAGTAGGCGAAGATTGATTTTGGATTATATTTTGTGAAAGAAAATAAAAAATAAAGTGGTTGGTAGCCTGGGACCCTTTCAAACAGATGGATACTGTAGGTGTAGAGGTGGAGATTTCTAGGGGGAAAAGGGCATTAAGTAAGTAAATCTTACTACACCTGTCACTATACATCTAAACATGAAATATTCTTTGGTTTGGATGACGAAAATGAGTTTTTACCTGTGACTGTGTGACTGTGTGTTTTTATGACGTGTGGTTGGTCTAGGTACTTCCTAGTGTGGAAGTGTGAGTGTGCAGGAGTTAGAGGCCGGTATTGGATATCTTCCCTTGATGCTTCTACACCTTCTTTTTTTTTTTTTTTTTTTGAGACAGCATCTCTCTGTGAACCCAAAGCTCGTCAA